ACACTGCGGTGCTGGCCCAGCCCAAGAGCTTGTGGCCCATTTATGCGGCGAAGGAACCAGCCTTCGGGATTTTTCCAAGGCTTTTGGCCCAGCCGACAAACCACCAGTGAAGACGCTCCTGGATTCGTATCGCTCCTGGATTCGTATCCCGGAAGAAGCAACCCTCATGGGCGAAATCACGACTCTTCATTCCTTACTTCACCAGTGGCTGGTTCAGTCTCTCAGCCACACAAACCACCCAGATGACCTAGCGTTCACTTTGTCAGGCTCAGCTCAACACGGTTGCCTCGGGGTCACAAGGTGGCTGTCACGGCTCCAAGCATCAAAACCTCTGAGCATCACGGGGAGGTGTGAGCCAGGAGGCAAGGATTCCTCTCGTTGCTCTTCCAGGAGAGAGGAATGTTTTTCTTTGTTTGCTTTTTCAGGCAAAGCCAGCAGACTGTCCCCTTTGGAAACAAAGTCGGGCTTAGTCACTTGCTAACCTAGTCACTGGCCACAGGGTTGGGATGGTCCCAATGGACTTGACTTATCATGATTCATGGGGCAGGGCATGCAGCATACGATTTACCTGTCCAAATAGGGAAGGGATGTTGGGTGGGTCATCAAAGGGGTCTCTCATGACTGGTGATGGGGGAGATAGTTCGTCACCCCTGAATGAGCCACCGCCTGAATGCCAATCACCTCCCACAAGTTCCAGGAGCAGATGATCTCCTGGGGGAATCAAGGTGGGCTTCCTAGAAAAGGAGGGTCGGCCCCTAACAGGGAAGTGGGCCAGAGGAGGCGGGTGTATAAAATTGGCAAATTGATGCAACTTGACCTTCTGGGGCTGGCTTCTCTCAGCAAGGACTTCAAGGAACGGACATCAGTGTTGTTGCAGATAGTAACCCCATTTGTCTTTGTGGTTGACTGTTGTGCTAGTCCAGGTTGACTAGAGAAACAAATCCAGAGACACTCATATGTGTGTAAGAGAGAGTTTTATATCCAAGAGTAATTGTATATTAAAAAAACATCCAAGCCCAGTCCAGATCAAGTCCATAAGTCTGTTATTAGCCCATATGTCTAGTCCATAAATTCCTCTTTAGACTCACACAGCACATGCAATGACTCCGAATGCAGTATGATCACAGGCCAGTGGGTGGAAAGTCTTGTGGATCCAGTGGCGGTGGAAGCATCTCAGCGCTGGCATGGGTCTCCATGTGGCTCCTCCAGCTCCAGGGCTCTGGCTCTGTCAGTGTGACTCCATAGGTCTTGTCAACAGGAATGTCAAGCAGAGAGAGTGTGTCCTGCCTCCAGAGAGGAATAAGTTCCCAGAAACCTCCTGAAAAGGACATGCCCATGGGGAGGGATCAATCGGGCTGTGACCCGATTGCCAGGCTACAATCCACCCCTTTGCTCAGGTCGACAGACTATGTAACTTCCACAACTGTTCTCAAACTTAATCTCAATTGAATCGTGTATGTATGTCCTCGGTGCTCTGGTGTCTCTTGCTCGACATTGGTGGGGTCCCCCTGCTGCTCTGTGCACTTGGGGTTTGTCCATTTCATCGGTGCCTGCTGTCTACCCTGCGCAAGGCCTTTTGAAAGTGCTAAGAAGCCAGGATGTGACTTTGAGGGCTCAGGTGCGCCTGACCAAGCCACGGTCTTTTCTGTGCATGTGAAAGATGGACCTTGAATAAGGAAGGCCGAAGAAGATGCCATGTGCTGGGGAAGAGTGTTTAAGAGCCATGGACTGCTCTCTTAGAAGGAGAATGTTCCTTAGAGGCAAGGTTGGTGAGTCTTCTCAGGTACTTTGGGCACGTGATCAGGATATACCAGGCTCTGGAGAATGATATCAAACCAAACTGACTGCCATAGAGTCAATGCTGACTCCCAGCAGCCCCCTGTGGGTTCCTGCGACTGTAACTGTTTCCGGGAGTAGGAAGCCAGTCTTTCTCCCTTGAAGCTGCTGGCGGTTTCGAACTGCCAACCATGCACATCTCAGCCCAACATACAACCACTGCACCATCAGAGATCCCCTGGTAAAGCAGAGGGGCAGCACAAAAGAGGAAGACTCTGGACAAGGTGGACAGACCCCGTGGCTGCAACCGTGGGCTCTAATGTGAGAGCATTTGTGGGCTGGCGCAGGTCTGCGGTGTTCTGTTCTGCTCGCCATCATGTTGCTGTGACTCGGTACTGGCTGGATGGCACCTAGCACCAACAACAGCCACGGCCACCCCGGGCACAGGCCACGGGGGTGCCTTGATTCCATTGGACCGTTGCAGGGGCCTGTGGGTCGTTTCCAGCTGGGTTTATCGTGAACAGCACTGCTGTGGATAGTCTCGCACTTGGTATACATTTGTCTCGGCACAGAATTGGGAGTGGAATTTCTAGGTCATAGGACATGTGAACTTCTGCTTTAGCAAATACCATCAATTTTCCAGAGTGGTTTTTACCAATTTTGCACTCCTCCCAGTGGTGGTGAGAATTCTGGTCGCCACCCATGCTCTCCCATGCTAGGTATTTTCCGTCTCATGAGGAAGCCATCTGAGGGTGTGAAGGGGCTGGTGGCCCGGGATTAGCATCCCCAGCTGCCCACTGAGATGCCAGTGGGTTGAGGCCAGAAGGCACTCTGTGGGAGAAGGGGGTGGTGGGCTTAGGATCTGCAGCCTTGGGAAGTCCTACTCTGCTCTACAGGGTTACCAAGGAGGGGAACTGGTTGACAGCAGGGTGTTTGGCTGGATTTGGAGGGTGTAGTGCTTTGCCTTGGTGTGTTCATTTGCATTTCCCCAAGCAGCGATGAGGTCACATGCCTTTGCACTTGTTTATTGGCCCTCTGGAGAGCCTGCTGGTGAAGTTTACTGTCTGGTCTTTTGGGGATCAGATAACTAGGGGATGCTGCATTCCAACAATGCCCCATTGGTAACCATTGATTCTTGTGCTCAGGTGGATGGTAGATGTTACTGCCCCACTGGCTATCCTTGGCTGGGAGACTCTGGAGGCCTTGCTGGGCTGGTGTGTTAGTCTGGGTTGACTAGAGAAACAAATTCCTAGACACTCATATGTGTATAGGAAAGAGCTTTATATAAAGAGCAATTGTATATTGAGAAAACACCCCAGCCCAGTCCAGATTAAGTCCATAAGTCCAATATTAGCCCATATGTCCAGTACCAGTCTATAAATTCCTCTTCAGACTCACACAACACATGCAATGACAAAGAATGCAGGGAGATCACAGGCCAGTGGGTGGAGAGTCTTGTGGATCCAGTGGTGGTGGAAGCATCTCAGCACTAGTGTGGGTCTCCACATGGCTTCTCCAGTTCCAAGGCTCTGGCTGCTATCAGCATAGCTACATGTGGCTTGTCACCAGCAATGTCTCTCAGGGAGTGAGTGTGTGTTCCGCCTCCAACGACCTATTTATTTCCTTAGCACCTCCAAATGAGGCCATCAAGCTGCAACCTGATTGACAGGCTAAACTTCACCCCATTCACTCTTAACAGTCTCAAATTGACAACAGATTATGTAAGTACCACAGCTGGCTTCCTCCAGGCAGGGTGGGCTCAAGTTGTCCCACTTTGGAGCTGTGGATGAAGACTCAGAGATGCCAGGAGGGAGAGCTTCTTTCAGGACAATGGCTGAAGAGCAAGAGCAAGACCCATTGAGCAGATCTGTGTCAAATCTCAGGCTGCATCATGGCCACCAACACCCACTAGCCAGAGTCAGGGGCATGGCTAAGCCCCACGTCAACGGGGGAGGTTGCCTCCAGGAGTGGAGGCAGGGAGTGAACACTTCCCAACAAACTTAATTACAGCACTGTTGGGGTTTTTTTTTGGTGGGGGGCAGGGCTAATCAAAGATTTCCTATGACAGAACCTCTGACCCACAGTCACACAAGACACCAGCCCATTTAAGCAAAAACTAGACTTCACTGTGTTTCCTTCCTGCCCCCAAAGTAGTTACCTCTGCCAAACTCTGTTACTCACTCAAGGAAAGTCTCTGAAATGAACAGGTCAGAGTCTTTCAATGACCAGGTTTGCCATCTCAAGTAGTGGGCCTGGGCCTGAGCCACTAGTCTTCTGGGTTGGCCCCAGCACCTGTCCACATGTCGGGAAGTGGAAGCATGCCAGGGGAGGGTGCTGCTGGGTGACTGGGTGGAAGAGTTGCAGGCACTGCTGTGTAAGCTCTCAGAGGGCTGGGTGCTTTGTCTGTGGGGATCATTGCTACATTTCCAGGGCTCACAAGAGCAAGTGACACAGAGCAGGTGTTCAATATATACCTGGTCGACTCATAGGCATCTGCATAAGTGAATGCATAGGGGCTGTCTGGAGAGGGCAGGTTAGTGTGTGGTTAGTTGGTTGAATGAATTGATAAATGGTGGATGGATGGATGAAGGATGGATTAAAGGATGGGTGGATGAATGGATGGATGGATGAAAGGTTGGGTGGATGGATGGATGAAAGGTTGGGTGGATGGATGGATGAAAGGTTGGGTGGATGGATGAAAGGTTGGGTGGATGGATGAAAGGTTGGGTGGATGGATGGATGAAAGGTTGGGTGGATGGATGAAAGGTTGGGTGGATGGATGAAAGGTTGGGTGGATGAATGGATGGATAGGTGGATGGATGGATGGATGGGGGGAAGGGGGATGGGGGATGAATGGATGGATAGATGGGTAGATGAAATGAATGGGGGATGATGCATGGGTGCATGGATGCATGGGGGGATGGATGAGAGGAGGGGTGGATGTGTAGAGAGATGGGTGGAGGGATGAGGAAGGATGAGTCGATGGCCGGAAGGTTGAGCATCGGATTGAATGGAAAGAGTGGTTCGATGGGTGAGTGGATTGGTGAATTGCTGAGTAAAGGATGGAAAGCTACATGGATAAGCAAATGGGGTGATGGATGGATAAGTAGATGACTGGGTGGGGGGGTGGGATCCGTTGGCCAACGCATGACTACAAGAATGAATGTGTTCATTGCTAAATGCACAAAGCCATTAGTGACCAGGATGCTTTAATCTCCTCACAGGCCACTCTGTGTTTCTGCCTCCTGCCCCCATGCTGAGCAGCTCTCTTGAAGCCCGGGGTGACAGATACAGAGATGGCTACAGAGATCAGCGCCCCGGGCAGACAGCGTGCCATCGGGCATGAGGAGTACAGCCTGTACAGCAGCCTCAGTGAGGACGAGCTGCTGCAGATGGCCATTGAGCAGAGCCTGGCTGACAAGACTCGAGGCCCCGCCACGGCCGAGGCCACCGTGGCTGCTCGAGCCAACCGCCCACCCGCCCATTTCCACCCATGGACCAGGTGAGTGAAGCGAGGTCAAGGAGGAGAGCGGGGCATCAGGTCTCTGTTCTCTGGGCCTCCATAGGGGGCAGGTCCCAGCCCCTGTTAATCCAACACCAAGCTATCGCAGGACCTATGATGTGCCGGAGCATCTTTGTGATTTACACTGATAATCGATCGACCAGCTGGACTGAGCTGGGACTGCGTGGTGTGCTGTGCAGGCCAAAGTCTCCCTGCCATCGAGCTGATTCCGACTCATAGCGATCCTATAGGACCCCATGTGTTTCTGAGATTGTAAATCTTTGTGGGAGTAGAAAGCCTCATCTTTCTCCTGAGGATGGGTGTGTGGGCTTGAACCATGGACTTTGTGGTTAGCCACCCAATGTGTGACCCACTATGCCACTGGGGCTCCTGCTGCGAGTGTTTGTTCTCATTTAATTCTCTTAAGCCCCTTCAGATGGGCACTAGGCCTTCAGACTGGCATGAGGCCATCCTCTCCATTTACAGACCAGGAAACGGAAGCTCAAGGAGGTCAAGACACTTGGCCAAGGTCACACAGTTCAAGTGGTGGAGAGGTTGGAGTCTTACAACCCGGGCTTTAGATTTGAAGGAGGCAGGGCTGATGGTTTCAGTCCCGCAGGTGCTTCCCGCTCGAACCATGCAGTTCGGGAAACATGTCTGAGAAACACAGGGCATCTGTCCAGTAAGTCCATCCTGCCCCTGCCCCAGGCTCCCTGGCTCAGCATCCCTCAGCACCCCAGGCCCAGGGCTCTTGAGAGCAGCGCTGACCAGTAGAAATGAACCACCTTCCGCAAACACGCTGGCATCTCCTCATCCCCTGCCACCTCCCCAGCTGCCCCTAAGTCCATTCTGACGCAAGGCCCCAACCCCCATGGGTCAGAGTAGGACCCTGCTCCTTGGGATCTTCAGGGGTGGTTTTTGGCAAGTGGGCTGCCAGGCCCGTCTTCCGCAGCACCTCTGAGTAGATCTGATCTCCAGGGTTTTGGTTAACAGTCAGTCTCCTGGGCCATTTGTCCCCATCTGACTCCCTGCCATTGAGTGGATTCTGACGCACAGGGCCCGGTTGTTTCTCTCGGCCTCTCTCACTGCCCCCGAGTTGATGCAGATTCACGGCGACTTGATCCGACAGGGCAGACATGCCCCTGTTGGCTTCTGAGGGTGTATCTGCTTACGGGAGTAGACAGCGGCATCTTCTTTCCCAGTTGTGGCTGGTCGGTTCTTTTTCTCACTTTTAAAGGTCATTTTACTGGGGGCTCTTACAGCTCAGATAACGATCTGTACATCAATTGAATCAACCATATTTGTACCTACGTTGCCGTCATTATTTTCTAAACATGTACTTTCGATTTGAGCCTTGGCATCAGTTCCTCTTTGCCCCCTCCCTCCCCACCTCCCATGGCTGGTAGTTTCAGACTGCTGCCCTTGCAGTCACCGTCCACCGCCTGACCACTGGGCCGCCAGGACTCCAGTTTCCAGGCGTGATCAAAGTACAAAACCGTGACAAGATGCTTAAGTTCTTTTGTTCCGCATCATGTCTTTGACGTCTTTAATATATAAAACCTAAACGCCCACCTCACGGTCATCCAGTGGATGCCAACTCACAGTGAGCCTGGAGGGCAGCGCAGAGCTGCTCCCGTGGGTTTCTGAGATTGTCACTCTTCCCGGGAAGAGAGAGCCTCGCCCGTCTTCCATGCACGAGCAGCTGGTGGAACGGCTGACTTAGCAGTTAGCAGCCAACACATAACCACGACAATACCAGGGCTCGTATGTGATAAATACTCACCGGAAATCACCAAACCCGTTGCTGTGGAGTTGTGCCTGACTCATAGAGCGCCTCTGTTGGCCAGGGTTTTCACAGCTGTCAAACCTTAAAGGCTCATAATGTCCCCGACAGCTCAGGCCTGGGGGTCCCTTTCTTTGTAGGAAGTGGGGACCAGAGCGGTCATTTAAAAGCATACTTAAATGCTTTTAAAATAAGATACTCATTTTAAGGAAAATGCTTTGTTTAAAAAAAAAAAAAAGTCAAACTTGAGCCCAGGTCAAAGGTATGGTGTTGCCCTGTGGTGTGGGATCAAACTGATGACCTTGTGACCTTGAACCAGTCACTTACCCCTCTCTGAGCCCCAACTTCCTTCTCTGAGACTCGGAATTATTACGGCAGTCAAGGAGGAAGGTGGGAGAGGGGGTGCCCCAGGCCTGCCTGTCCCCTGAACCTACCAGAGATCTTCCCAAGAGGCTTTGGCCCTTGGTAAGGCTGGACTCCTTCTGCCAGGAAGGCTAGACAAACACATGGGTGGCCCAGAGACCCTTCTGAATGGTTGGGCAGCAGCATCCTTGGGCAGCAGGAGGAGCTGGTGGATCTGGGACCCTCAGCTACCCGTGGGGAGGGGTGCTGTTCTGCAAGCTAATCAGAAAGGGAAACCCGGAGCTGGCGCTGGGGTTGGTTCCTGGTGGCAGGTGCTGAGCAGGCCCTGGTTCCTGTGGGGACCTCTGCACCCGGGTCAAACCGCACGTTCCTTTTTCTCACAGGGCTCAGGTTGAGATAAGGCGTCCTCTCTGAGAAGGCACGCAGTAACACGTCATCAGGGCATCTGCAGGCTGCCCCCTGCACAGGAGGATCCCCCAGAGCCCCCCAAACCCCAGATGCCAGAGCTGACCACCTCCTCCATGTCGGGGGCAGTAGGTGGGCACCCCAACTGCTGCTCGGAACAACGTTTCCACGGAGAAGTGACCTGGCTTCTCCAAGGGCGGTGAAGACCAGGCCCTGGAAGAGTAGAGTCTTTGTGCATCTTTGAACTCTGGCTATGACAGGAAGACTCCACAAGTTCAGTCTGCCCCTTCCTCTCCGGGGCCCTGGGGGCAAGCAAAGGTCTTTCCTGTGGTTTCTACACAGAACTCTGCTGCTCTTCCCCCTCCCCACCGCCTGCTTCCTTTACCACCTTTACCCCTTATCTCCCTGCTTATCTCCCCCCTTACCCCGCCTCTGCAGCTCCCAGGTGCATGTGAGCACTTCCCCTGGAGTGGGCGAGGACTATCCATCTGCTCCATGCTTCTAACAGCCTCTCACTGAGCACGCACCCATGTCTCAGCTGAGGATCCCGCCTACCTATCCACTCTCAAGTTCAGACACGTCGCCAGGCCCTGCTGCCTCTGCAAATGCCCTTGCTGTCCCCTCCCCACCTTTAACCTGGGCTTGGCTCTCATTGCACATCCCGCCACCCACGGAGACTTGGGTCCCCAAGGACCCACCCACCTGTGCTCTCACCTTCTCAGATACCGTGGCCCAGGAAGGAGGGGGCTCTGCCATCAGCCTTGTTCACGTGCATCTCTGAGCAGCACAGTTCCCACCGAAGGGCCCCGAAGGTTCAGGTTCATTCACATCCCCCCACCCCGGCCCATGAGGATGACCCGGTCATTCGGCACCTCCTGCAGGTTGATGCCAGCTCCTCAGGCGTCCTCACCACCCACTCCAGTTGATGCCCCGCCCCCTCTCTTGCCAACTTACTCTCTTGCCTTTGTGGCTCTGAAACCTGACAGCTGGGAACAGTTTTTGTTCCCATCTGCTTCCTCGTTGCCTGGAAATCTCCTATCTGCCTCCCTGCATAGCCCAGGGCCAAGGCTTACACCACACGAAGGGAAAGGTTAGTAGAGCCAAAGTGGATAGGGAAGTGGGTTTGGGTTTAAATCCTTCTTCTGCCATTTGCTGGCTGTGCAACCTTAGGTGAGTTATTTAACCTCTCTGAGACCCCAAACCCTCAGCTCTAAAACGGCAGTAACAGAGCATGTCTCCACGCCCCCTCCCGCACTCCCCCTCCATCTTAGTGATCTTACTGGAAGTGACAGAGAGGAGGGAGTTGTTGCAGCCTTCCTCGACGTCTGCAGCTTGGCCTCTGCTTCTCAGACACGCCGGGCAGGTGTCAGCTGACCTCCTGACACTGTCCCCAGCTACACTGTGACCTCCTTGGGGATGGTGAGCAGATATGGTGGTTTCCCACTGTGTCCTTCCAACCCAGGAGAGAGCCTGGATCTTTCTAGGGGTGCCTGCCATGAATGCTTTTAGGCAGATAAGTGCATGCTGAAGCCGAGTCATGCTGTGGGAGCCTAACTGAGTGTCATCAATGCGTGACCAGTGTGGCCACTGTGGACATGAAGGTCCACCTAGCCTTTGAGGACCCAGGTATGCCTGATCCAAGCCACCGTCTTCCCAATCACCCTGTGCAATTGACCAAGGAAGGCCGTAGAAGAATGGATGTGTGTGAATCCTGGTGTTGGGGAGGAATGTTGAAAGTTCCGCAGACTGCCAAACGAGCAGCCAAATCTGTGCAGCTGGAATCTGGACATCCTTGTGCTCGTCCAGAGGCAAGTATGGAGAGACTTTGTCTCCTGTCTCAGGAGAGACCCGTCCCTGGAGAAGGACATCCTGCTTGGTAAAGGGGAGGGGCGGTGAGCAAGAGGAAGGCCCTGGACAAGGTGGACGGGCAGAGTGTCTGCAGCAGTGGGTTCCAACATGAGGACAACTGTGAGGATGGTGCAGGACCTGCAGGTGTGTCCTTCCGTTGTGCACAGGGTCTCTATGACCTGACGGCACCTAACAACAGCCACAACACCGCCGAGAGTCGTTGGGACCCTAGAAATCAAAGCCAGACCAGCCTCCCAAAGAAGACAGAGAATGTCCCTTCTGAAAGCCCTGTCCCCACCGCTGGAAACCCTCCTGAGGATGACTGGCCACCTTGGTCCTTGGAGGGTTCCCGGGACAGAGCCGGCTCTGTGTCCCACTGTGAAGCAGGGCCCTGCACCCCAGCTTCTCTGGCTGGACACAGCGGAGCAGGCTCAGAAAGCTTGGTGCACGCTAGCCTCTTGAAACTTCCGCTTTTTATCTGTGGCTCCATTTCCAGGCAGACGGTGCAGGAAAGCTGAAGCAGGGGCTTGTTCGGCCAACGTGTGCGCACCACCACTGCTGAGCCCTCCTCCTGTCCTCACTGTGAACAACGGGCACAAGGGTTGAGGGGGGACGGGGGACGGGGTGTCCCTGATGACCAAGAAGCACAGCAATGGGCTTGACCCGGCTCCAGAGCAGTGGGGTGCAGGAACGATTGATTCGCTTGCTTGAGGAGGCGGGCTTTGCAGAATGAGGAGGAGGAGTGTGCCAAGCAGACTAAAGGACGCAAGCTTCCTGAAGCCCCGGTTTCCCCATCTCCTCCACAGAGTGCGGGGACAGTTACCCGGGCAGCTTTGTGCGCTGGGGCCTGACCGGTGGGGAGCAGGGGAGGGCGGGAAGCAGAAGTCCCTGCTGCAGCGTGGGAGCGGACTGTTTCTCAGCGCGCTGCGGGCTGGGGGCTGGGCTTATTAGACAGGTGCTTCTCCCCCTGTCCCCACGTGCTTTCTTCATGAAGTGCCTGGCGCCCCCTGGTGGGCTGGGCACTACACCCATGATATCCTTGGGCTGCCCAGGGCTGGCCTGGGAGCAGAGGGGGACAGAGTCTGGCACATGGCGGGCACCGAGCACACTCTCCCGATTGGCAACTTCTTTTTCTATAAATACGATGCCTGTTCTGTGTCCTGTCACCTCTTTTCTGGGCTAGCCGGGTGCCCGATGAACAAGCAGCCCGTCTGCCGGCTTGGGCCCCTCCATGAGCCCCACCTGGGTCTGGAGCTGGGCCATCCAGGCTCCAGGGTGAGTGTTGGTGACTCCGCTTCCACTCCCGGCTGATTCACCTCATGCACAGCCTGTCTGTGAGTGGAGACCTGCGCCTTGCTGTGATGCTGACACGTGTCTGTGGATCCTCCAGACTGAAACAGACCAGGAAGAAAGACCCGGCAACTCGCTTCCGCCCCAGACCTGCCCATCACGCACAAAGCCCAGAGGCCCCCTCTTGGGCCTCATCTAAGTCATGACCTGAACCCACAGCCAGCCGGCTGGGCCTCATTTCTGGTGACTCAGCCTGGGAAGTCCCCAGCTGGGGCCCTTGGGGGGAAGTAGGCTTTCTATCTTTGATCAGAAAGATCGAGGCGGGGGTGGCTGTCTCCTACAGCTCAGCCACTGTCAGCAGTTACCCTACTGGGTCCCCAAACCAAATGAACGCACCCTGCTCTCCATGTTCCTGGACCAGCCCTCCTGCCCCCACATGTGGCCACTCGGACACTTGGGGCCCTCACCCCTCACCTGCACACCTGTGGGCACCTTCAGGGCCAATAAAACCACACCTTTGTCTGGCCCCAGCCCCAGCCCATCTTTGCCAAATCCAACTCATCCTGTGCTTGCTCATCTGCGCACTGGGTCCACCACAGGCCTGCGCTGGCTTCGTGAAGGGTCACTCTGCTCGGACAGCTTCACTGCCCCTGATGCTGTGGCTACACTGTCTGAGACTGGCCTTAGCTTGGAGGTAGGGGGCTTTGAGGGGGTCCCACCACGGCAGCAGGGCTCAGGGGTCCATGCAGGAGACCCTAGGTTCCTTCCCGGCCGACACACCCTCTCTGCAGCCACCTCCCATCGGTCAGTGAAGGGCTGCGTGTGGCTGCAGTGAGCAGGCTTCAGCCAGGCCTCTAGAACAGGGGTGGGCAGACTTTGGAGACGGAGGTGCCAGAACTGGCCCTCACAACCCTTTAGCAATTCTTCGAGCGCCGGCACTATGTCTTTACAAGCAACTGAAGTCCCATGGTCTTCAGAGCCACCTAGACGCACCGAAGGGGCCACGGAGGGTTCTCGAGCTGCAGTTTGCGACCCAGCTCTGGACTGAAACAGTCGATGAGGAAAGATCTGGGGCCTAACTCCTCCGCGGAGACCCGATGGATCCCAACATTTGGATTCGAAACAGACCCGGACGTGCTCGCTCTGCTGTGCTCCGGGTCACTGTGAGCCGAGGTCAATCCGGTATCATCTATCTGCACGGTTCCTTTACTGAGCAGTCTGATACCGTGAGTGCCTGGGGCCCATGCGTGGCCAGTACCCAAGCCCCAAGGACCACAGGAGGAAACGGTCCCAAGCTTTTGCGAAGGCTGCAGGCCTGGTGAGCATGCAGGATGACTGGCTCAGCTTGGCCTTGTCTCTGCCGGCACGCTTCCCCCCTGGGGCAGAGCCGGCACAGGGGACAGTGAGCTTCAGGGCCCAGGGCAAAAGGGCTGCCTGGCCTTTGCCCCCACCTCCACCCCAGCTGGGTCTGTTCCCTGCTGATATCCCACAAGGTCACTTCTGTACACACCCCAAAGCTATAAACGCAGCCAGGAGGCCCTTGGACAGATCCTGCCCCCAACCCCACTTTACAAAGGGTGTCAAGGAGGTCCCCAGGGCTTGTCCCAAGGGTCAGGCCTGTGAGTGTGGGGGCTGCAGCCCTGGGGTGGGTCACGGGGGCCAGGGAGGCAGGAGGCCTGGACTTCCATTGGACTGAACACTATCGGGGCCCCAGGTCTGCATCTGTGTGCTCTACCACCAGTGGCCAGGGGGCCTGGCAGCTCCCTACCCCCTCTGGTCCTCAGTATCCTCAATGGCGGAGGGTCAGTGGCATCAGTGGGCAGGAGTGTCCTGCCTGACCTTGAGCCCTCAGTGGCGGGAGCAGTGGCCATGCAGCCACTCACGCCGAGACCCGCAGAAACAAGGACCCGAGTGTCCCTGTCTCTCTCTCTGAAACCAACAAGACAAACTCCCTGCCACCGAGTCAGCATTGACTCACAGCCACCCTGCAGGACAGGGAAGAGCTGCCCTTGCGAGTTTTGGAGACTGTAACTCTTCATGGAAGTAGCAAGCCCTGTCTTTGTCCTGAGGGGCGGCTGATGGCTTTGAACTGTGGACCTTGGGTGGACCACTATACCACCAGGGCTCCCAGTCTGGGCCTCCAAGGTGGCTGCAAATAGTACGTTCTGACCTGTCCTGGGAGCATGTGCATCCTTCAAGGGTCATGACCCCAGCACCCCTGCCCCTCAGGGGATGCCCTCCGGCTCCACAGGGTCCCCCAGAGGTGGGCACAACAGCCTGAGGGGGTGGCATGGGCACAGTGCCCGAGAGGCGCAGTGGCAGATGAAAGAGCATCGGTGTTGGGCACCTATCTCTGTGGACAACGCCGTCCACCACACCCAGGCCACCCCCCAGGCCCCGAGCAGGGGCTGCTCTCCTGGCCCTCTGCCAGGTGGGGTACAAAGTCTCTGCTTCCACTGCTCCAGGTCATGGGTGCCACAGGACTTGACTCTGCAGGTGGAGGGGCTGATGGTCAAGTGGATAAGGCGTGGGTGAAGGGGTCGGGTGGGGGTGGCGCACAGAGGTGGTGGCTTGGCTTCCTGCCATGCCCGTCTCCCCCCTCTGTGAGTCTCGTCTTGTCTGAGGCCCTGCGCGGGCCGACCGACCACTTCCCACATTCCCCGGGCAACCAGTGTCACCTTGCTTCCTATCTGCCTCCCGCGCGGTTGGCTGGGGAAGGGGACCAAGGGGTGGGGGTGAGGTTAACCTCATTGTTGTCATATATGGTCATTTAACTCTCCCAGGGCTTCCTCCAAGGGCCAAAAATAATCCGGAGCCCCGGCAGCTGTGTCCAGCACGCCAGGAGGACAGGGCCATCTGCTCTGGGGCTGAGCCCGCGTCTGCCCGGGTCCTTCTCCCCCGCCTGCCCGCCCGCCCGCCCGCGGCCCACAGCCATGACCCGCTTCTCCTATGCTGAGTACCTTGCCCTCTTTCACTCCTGCTCCGTGCCCCCCAGGTCCTCCACGCCTGAGAGCCCCCCGGCCTCGGCCCCCTTGGGCTTGTTCCACGGGGTCATGCAGAAGTACAACAGCAGCTTATGCAAGGCCTCCCAGCCCACGTAAGTGACCCCTGCTCAGGACTGGCCCACCTCACTCCCCCAGCTGTGCTTGCTGGTGGGTAGGAAGGCAGGGACTCTGGGGGGCTCCTGGGCCAGCCCCCTCTCTGCTGTGGCCCCTGGGACCCCGGTGCTCCTGTTGAGCTAGCCACAGACCCTGTCCTCAGCAAGCCAGGCAAACTGGCATGAGAGTCTCCCTCGGGCTCCCTGGGGGCAGGAGAGGTTGGGGGGCTGGACCAACTGCTATGGCTGGGGCTCTGTGTCTGGGGACCATCAAGAGGAAGGCAGTGGCAGTGGTGGTGTGTGTGTTTGCATGGGCTATGGTGGTGTCGGGGGGGGGTGTTGCGAGCTGAAACTGCAGAGTTGTCACGCCTCTGTCTGTCTGTCTCTGTCTCCCTGTCCCCACGGCACTCCTCCATAAATCTGAGCACATTTCCTTCTGCTTTGCAGCCTTTCTGGGCTGAGAACCAGGGGCTAGTTCCAGAAAGAATCGGAGCTAGAGGAGGCACTGGGTGCTAGGG